TTTACTGCAAAATCCATTTTTCCCCCTGTGAAAACACCAGCAATACGTCAAGACAGAACGTGTATTGCAGGATGATGTGAAAACCTGGCCTTGCTGGTCAGAAGGAAAGTTTTCCTGGTGATTTCAGGGAGGTGAAGGCTTCCTCCTACACTGTTTAGGAGCAGTTGATGCATAACGGTTATGTCCAGTTAATTGGATGCATTGCTATAGGCACTTGAGAAATACGAGAGAGAGATGCATTCAGCTAGATAGATATCCCTGGTGTAGTGAGCTGAAGTCAAGTAGAGAGTTAAATCGTGAAAGATTTGACCTGATATCATTTATATCTCAAGTCATAATTAACACTTAAAGTTCAACTCTATAGCAATTTTCTTTTAATAACACTTAAAACCTATCTAGAGCTCAAAGAATTGCATAGACATGATGAAGGATGACTTGAGTGGATGCCAGAATTTCAGCATTAGTAATTAATCCTCAAAACACCTTTGCAAGGCATATGGGTAACTTCCTTTCCCTTCAGTTTCTCCTTTGAATGGAAGCGGGGTTTGCCCAATGCCTCCACAAAGTCTGTGGCACCTGGAGATAAGGATGGATTTTTTTTTCAGGTGCTAAACCAATGAACACTCAGATAAGACCGGCTCCCATCTTTTTGTCTTGATATATTTTTAAATTCTACCGAAATACTTAGAAATACTATGGACAAATTGCTTGTCAAATGGCCTGTTTTCTTCCAATTAGGAGCTATGCAAATACAGAAGAAAAAACCTGCCATAAGCACAGCTTCTGCTTCTAATACTTTCATGTGGATGAAATATGAATCTTACAGGGGGAAGAAACGTGCGCTCGGACTGAGACCTTGTAAGTCGAGATTCGGCTCGCTGCAAATTTTTTATGGTCAAGTTATAACTGCCTGTAAAGCAGGGCTTTAAAATGGAAGTGCTGACAAAACTTTTAAACTACAACAGTGGAAATGGCGCCGCAATAATTTATAATCTACAGGCAGCTTTGGATTTATTATCACAATGACAAATGCACTGTCATTGTTAATAGGATATTTCCCAGCAAGGACTTCTTGTTATGCAAGCCAGGTTCACTATGTCATGCAGCATGATAGCAATAAAGTCTACAAGAATTTGTAATGAACTTCAATTACTAATAGATTATGGTTAATGGGAAATATGTGCAGTAAAGATATGGGTTTTTATATGCGCCTTCTGGTACTCTACAAGGCAATGATTTATGCTACAATTTATGTTAACATTCTCCTGTACGAAAAAAAGCCTAAATTGGTGGAAAGCCACTCCATCCATAACAAATATTTAAGATAATTTTGCACATCATGTAAATGAAGATGTAAAATTAGATATTAATCCATTTCATTTTAGCATTTGTATTTTTATTAAAAATGAAGACTTTGCCCTACTGTGTAATGACATTAAAAAAATCCTATCATGGGCTGCAAGCATGAATTACGCCGACGTGGAAATGGCGACAGCAACCGAGCTGCAAGTGCTTTTGTTCAATTTGCTGTTGTAATTAACAGAACAGCGAGAACACTTTCCTACGTGTGATTTAAAGCAGCAGCCCTGACGCTGCTCAGGCAGATGCCTTGGATGCGGATGGGATATATCCATGAAGACCGGGCTCCTTTGGAGGGGGTCAGCCTTTTCCTGCCCCAGCCATCCTGCGTGGCATCACTCCAGAGCCATGTCTCATCCGCCGGCATCGACATCGGGCTATTCTCTTCCCCGCACAGCAAACATCCCACGGGAATCACTCTGGGAAATAATCACCTGACGCGGCACCAGAGCCACAGGCTCACGCTTACTTATCAGAGGGACACAGGCCCGGGTGTTTGCCTGCCATTTCAAAGGAGCCCTCCTCCTCCTCCTCCTTCCTCTCTCCCTCCAGCATTTTTCCCCTGTACCTGTAATATAATCTATATACTCCAGGTTTTTGTGCCCGCAAAATGAAAAGAAAAAAGGATGTGTCCCAATTTAACCATTCAGAACCATCTCCAACTAACGCAGGGATGCAGTGTTAATTTACTCGGACTCGCATTTCTGCAAAACATTTACACTTCATTTCTGATTTAGCCATGCGTGAAGAACCTACAGGGTCATTCATGGTATGTGTTAATGCAAGTAGCCTGACACCCAGCTTGTTTCAGCCAGCGTTACGCTGGTTTAAGACCATTGCTCCCAGTGAACCTCTCTATAAAGCCCATAAATTCACCTTGTAGGGCTGCGGCCGAGGCAGACCCATCCAGTTGGCCCATGCGTCCAGCTGCGGGTTTCTGGAGATGTGCTTTTTGAAGACCTTCCTGCTGGTTGAGATAAGGCAGGCTTTCTGAAAGGAAAACAATTGATTCACTGTGGAAAGCACACAGGTAAACTCAACATTGCCATATAAATCCCAGTCTGTGGACAAGCTGGACTCCCCAGACATGCTCTGGAATAGCAGTACCTCGTGGTGCAATTAAAGGTGATCCTCTCATGAAGTGTGGCTCTTCAGGCTGTTAAGAAGTTGTTTGAGTGATTTACAAAAACTCGTTCAGTTTTTATGGTCAAATGAGCATAAAATTGTGCTTCCCCACACTCATTTCCTACTAGATAATACTTAACAGTACTTATTTCTTGGAAATGCATGTGTTACAAATTTAAAATTAAAAATAATTTATCCCTTAAGGGTGCTCTTCTGATTCAGTTTCCCCCCAGCCCCTTAACAGAACCAGCTGCATGCACAGAATACAGGTAACTATTTTTTCCCCCATTTTTTAAATTAAATTCTCCTCAGAAGCAAAAGCGGTGGCAGAGGACTGTCCCAGCGTGTCTGGGTTTAGATAAGGAGTTTTATTCTCCAGCCTAGGGTGAAAGAGCCTTTTTCCCAGTGCGTTCTGCTTTTAAATAAGACCCCGTGCAACTCCATGCACCTATCAAGCGCTCCCTCTCCTCGGCCTCTCCCTTGCTGATTGAAGAGGGGATGGATCTCTCATACATTCCCATTGGATCTCCTTTCCTGTGTGCCTGGTCAACTCCTTTTCTCTCCAGACCATCTCTGCTGTTCCTCATCTTTCCTGCTCACTCTCGCATTTTCACAATCCACTCCCCACCCCACCCCCCACATCTCTGAAGAGCTTTTTTCCTTGCATTTTTACCTCTGCTAAATCACAAAACAAACAAGACATGCCTGTGCCTCTTGTCTCTGGGTTTCCTAGTTGGATTTTGGGGTTGGTTTTGCTCTGGCCTTTCTGTGGCTGCCGAACATACGTCACTCCTGACAGGGTTGATGTGGCAATATTCAGCGGTCACCTCCTTTGCAAGCACCATTTAGAAGAGGTCACTGGCAACACAAAAGAGCTATGGCAATAATTGTAACTTTAATTTGTTTGCCATTAGAAATGCATGCAGCAATCTGTCCTAATGAGACATCTCCTTCCTTTCCCGTTTCGGCATGTCACCGTAGCAGCTTACAGATATACTGAGGTCTTCTAATGCAGGAATCTGTATGTAGCCCTGCGTAAAAGTGGTAATAGATTTTGTTCTGCTCAACAACTGAGAAATACCACAGAAGCATTCCAAAATACACTGGAATTAATATTTGATCACTAGGAGAAGTGTGTGTTTCAAATAATTCAGCCTAAAATGAATATAAACAGCTATTAATGCCCTGTGTGGTCTCTTGTAAATCACTTCAAATCACTAATAATCTATATTGTATCAGAAATGTGTATGCAAAAATACAACATAATCTCTTGCAGCTAAAACATTGCCTGAAGTAAACCATTTCAACACTGAATCGAATTATTTCAATGGCAGACATCACACCTGTCTCACAGGATAAACTGAGTATTCAGACTATTAAATTCATTCAAGCGACTGTATTATATCCCACTACACCTTCTGCCTCGTAGGGGGCATTACGCTTCTTAAAACTGTAAAATCATTTAGCAAAATAAACGCATCAAATACCGAAGTAGTGACAGCCCCCGCTGGATAAGGCACTGAGGAGGTGAAGCACCTTCTTGCTGAACATCCTATACTATAAACTGAACAGATTTACCTGACGTGACCCCACTGAAAATGAAACAAATCCCACTGAAACCTGTCCATTTGGTGTCAAAGTTCATTTTTACACCTTGCCTGTTACGGAGCGTACAAGCCACGTGTGGCCCTTGCTGCCAGGCTGGTGAAAGGCTGTGACCAGGAGATCTGTGTGTTTAGCTAAAAATACCAGTGTGACAGCAGCAGCTGATTCCTGGCACGGGCTTTGCATCAGGGCTCACCGGTGAAACCCACCTCTTCAGGACGGTGGTTAGAACTGCTGTGCCTCAAGCATCTTCTCTCTTGCAGGGCCAGTAAGGACCTGGTACGCACATCGCTCTGCTGATGCAAGGCCATAACAAATATAGTGAAAGTACAGGAAAAGAGAAGCAGTGCCATCAAATGGAGGTGGCTGCGGGAGCGGGAGCAGGCAACCGTCGCACGTGCTGAAGGTGTGAGGCCACGGTAACTGAGGGTGTGAGATTTCTAAGTCACTGCAAGCTCAAGGAATCTCACTGAGCATCCACCCAAACAGTCCATCCTTCTGAGCCTCCACTCTTGCCAGCTGCGCTGAGGAGTAGTAATTTGCTTATTTGGTCTGTAGAGAGTTTTTAAATGAAGGTGATGAAACCATGTACAGTTTTTGATTATTTTTTAGGAAATGGTCACATTTCTGCAGTGCCTGAGTGGGTCCGAGTTACATCTGACTATACAACATCCATACGATAAAGCACAAGTAACTGCTTAGTGAGTTACACATTCACAGTTAGTGGGGATTAATGGAGTATTATAGCTCACTTATAATAACAGATACTAGTACTGGTTTCTTAACCAGCTCCAGAATTTATTTATGAGTACTGAAGTAAACTAAGCCATTTATAAAGTATGAAAAACGCATTTCAGCTGTTAACAGTTTATATCTATTTGCTTTGGATCTCAAAGCAAGAAGAGGTTAACTCATGGCTCAATCACAATTACACTCAGGCTGTTATTAAAAAGCACCTTCCCATCTCTTTCTTCACTGCATTCAGGCTTCCTTAACTCTTCCATTACCTGACGCTTTAATTCTGGAGGAGCAGTTTTAGAAAACTCATAAGTTTCTGTCAGGAAATCCAGCAACAGCTCCCCATCCGTGTTCCCTTCAATAAAGCAGCTCGTTATGTCCATGTAGGATGGGAGCTCGTGGAGCTGGTACTTCAGCCCAGCTGAATCCAGTATCCTTTTGATGTCAGCAGAGGAAACGTAAGAGGAGAGATCATCTAAAGGGAAGGAAGAACTGTACTTCTTCCACAGTCTTCCCCAGCCACTGGTTCCTGAGAGATAAAACACCAGAAAAATGCTCAGGAGTAAGGAAAAACACTATTTGAACAAATTATTGCTCATCTGGGTGTTTTAGCAGTTGTCCTTCTTGCAAGCAGGGTCTCTCCATAGTTGGGATATGGCCTGGAGCAAGGTGGAGACCTCCTTCTGTGCCTCAGGGCTTGGGGCTGCCAGAGGGGATGGACACGTTACCTACCCCGAAGCTCCAGCTCCCTGCTGAGGCCAGAGCAGCTCAGTGCACTCAATCTTCCCCTTTTCCATCCCAACACGCTGCACCCCCTGTTCCATGCACATAGGCAATCTCTCTCAGGCACATCCTCCTACAGTCCACATGCTGAACACTACCTATTCCTTGCCATCTTGATGTAAACTGTTCCCTACATTTCAGCTGCCTGTTTGCAAGACCAAAACCTCTCCTACTCTTTGACCTAATTGCTTTGTGGTTGAGCTACACATGAGCTTCACTGAAACACTTCCTGACAGTAAACTCTCTGTCACATGTAATACCTGGGATGCCAAACCCTGATCACATTGTCCATGCAACTGGGTGTGTGATGGAGAAAAGAGTGGGATGGGCAGAGCCCAGGATGAAGCTGCACCACCCTCCCAGCCTTCTGCCTTCGCTCCCGTCACACTCACACGCTGTTGGGCACAAGCAATGAGGGTTGCCCCTCACCCCAAGCAGCCCTCCCCCATGATGCTAGAAGGACATTTTGGCTGTGTATTGTTTGGCTGTGGGAAGATGAAGGGGGAGGAAGGAAAAGGCTCTTGTAGCACCGCAACCACCTCCAGAACTGGCCCATGCCAAGCCCACACCTCTTCTCCAGGGATGTTTTACAAAGCAAACCAGCTGGGTAAGCTGAAAACTCCTCAGATATTGCCTTTTTGTCTTTATTTTCCCTCATCCTGGATCTGTGATCCAGCATTTTTGCTATAAATCATTTATAAAAGGATCACCCAGAATGACTCGACGGGATGAAAATGACTTCGAGCCTAACAAGCAGCTCTTGAGAGTTATGACTATAAATCTCCATAACTACTAAAACCAGTTGCTGGGCGGTTTTGCAAATGCTTTATCTGCAAACAGTTATTTATAGTCAAATAAGCAGTTTGGTGTTTAGAAGAGGGGCTACAATATTTTCTTTCACCTGGTGGAAATTGAATGCAGAGCACTAATTGCAGAAAATTTGCTGGTGTCAGTGTTGTGTGACTCAGTGCCATCTCCGAGCCGAGCAATTATACACTACCTGAACGAAGCATTATTATAATAGCTCTCAATAGGCTCAGCATATGGCACTACTTTTGTTTTCAAGGCGATGTAAACAGATTTTTTAAATGTGTTAAAAATAACACCGCATAGCTCTTGCAACTCGCCTGCTCTCCCGGCAGGGACGGAGCAGGAGGGATTGCAACCTTCGCCGACTGACCAAGCTCTCTCCTATCAATCCTATTCCCAGACCGGCTTTTAATTAACACATCCTAATGTGTTTGTGTTGAAGATGACATTACTGTCATTTTTTGAAATGAGCTTTGTTCTGCTTATCTTTCAGTACCTCTTTTTGCTTCAGTGCTCATTTTCATAGCTTTTCTTCCTTCCCCTCTCTACACTCTTCTCTCCCCAAAGGTTTCCCCCTTCCTTTCCTCTCTGCTGTTCTGAGCCCTACTCCACTCTGCCATTTTTTTGCTGGCCCCACCAATTTCTGCTCCATGCCACTCCATCAGAAATCACGGAGTCGCATGGCCCAGAGAGGACTTTAAATACTTTCAACAAATTCAGATTTTTAATCACATTAATTTTGAATAGACACATGTTTCTCCCTGTATTCACATTTCACGAATATCCAGAGGGGCAGGTTAAGCAACTGGAAAAGAGTTTCAATTAACTATACACTGGTAATCAGCAATGGTCTGATATTATGATCCATTCCCTTTCAAAGAACAAGAACAGTAACTCAGGCCATTTCAAATACAGAATTATTGTAGTGGAATGCTTGAAAACACTTGGAACCAAAAACATTTTGGAGAAAAATAGTTTGAATAAATTCAGGTCAAAGAAGTGCCACTTTGCTGTGGATGCTTCAGGAACACAAAACAGGGACTTCATCGAGCACATTGCAGTTTGCAGACGCGGCCAAATTCAATAAAAAAATTAAGCTTAAACCTCTAAACAACTAACACTTAACCTCCCTGAAAAAACTATCAGATGTGACTATTTACACAACTAAAATTTCCATGGCCTGAGAGGCAAATTGAAGGCTTTCTAGAGTCAGATGAGTCCCTGCTGTTGCAGTATCTCTACCATACCTTGCCCACAGTATTAAAAGGTCATCGTTTACTCTGTTGCCACATTTGCCTCCTGGACTGACTGCAGAGCATCTCATCCAGATCTAAAACAGCCTAAGAACACTGTTTTCCACCCAAAAATGACGATATTAAGGAAATGGGCAGTTTGAGAAGAAAATGGACCATATGTGCTCTAACACCTGCTGTATGGCACAGCCGAGCCCCGTCGTAGCCGTTCGCTTAATGCCACAAGTCTCCAGGAGCGAGATAATGAGGTGCCCAGCCTGAAAAGCCTGTTACAGAGAACAGCAGAGGATGAAGGAGCTTTTGTGAGCGAGAGCCACGGGACGGAGCTTCTTCCTCGCTTCGGGGCTCTCTGTCCATCACCAGCCAGGCCGTGGGATGGGGAGGGGCTGAAGGCGAGAGGAAGGCATTTGATGCCCGTGGCACGGGTTTGCTGGCTGACAAAGCCTTCAGCTTTCCAACCTGCGGCACGACGTGCAGATTGCAGTGGATGCAGATGAGCAGACACGGTTTGTTACGCAGCCGCTGCACCTCTACAGGTGATAAAGGATGTTTTAAATTAAAATGTGCCTTGGTTTCTGACTGGCCTGTGTTGAAGTCATGGGAACCCCAAAGGTCCTCATGGCTCTTGTCTGACTGAGCAGCGCTGGTGAAGCAGCTCTCACCTGACACCAGGATAATGAGGAGCTTCGCCTGGGCTTCCAGGAGGCTGTGGAAATACCGGATAGTTCCTGGGACGTCTTTCACATAATACAGCATCTGGAAAGAGCAGACATGCTTACAGAGATACAGTGTGGGCCTGGTCAGTGTTATAACCGGTGCCACTAGAGAAAAGAAACCAAACGGGGGGCAATCCTGACAGAGGAGGAACGGGACAACAAGGGACATTAGCACAGCCCCGGGCAGTGGGCTCACACTGTGAACTCGGGGCTGTCACTGCCTTGCTGCTCTCTGGCTTTCCCAGGACCAAGCTCATGTTCATTCATTAACCTGAGATAAAAAGGTTTGCCTTTCTTAGCAGTGAAGATGGCTTGTAATGGCTTCGGTAAACTTGGAAATACAAAGGCAATCTCACAGAGAGGACAAGGAGCTTTGAAAACACTAGTTAAAATATATTTTTAGTTGACTGCCACCCACAGCCTGGTTAATAGGACTACTGTGCTCAGAGTTGCTTTGCTGTAACTCATCTTTCATTTTTGCAGTTCACTTATGCTTAAGTACTTCAAATTACAGGGAAATAAACTCACCTTTCTTCCCCTTAGAGTGGATAATGAGGTCACATACTTCATGCGTACTTTTAACAGCCAAGTCTTTGACAACATTTACTTTGCAGAGACTTTTACCTGGATCATGTGAATAAAGTCCCATTTTTTAGACTTCTTTTCTGCATTCATTCGACTTTCATATTCATAAGCTGTCTCCTCATGCCAGGTAAACTTTACGTTCTCCAGGTTTGATGTCTCAGCCACGCGCTCTAAAATACAGGAGAAGGCAGGACAGAGTTATCTCAATTGCAAATACGGGGCCGGTTTCCATTCAGAGCTTTAATACAGCCAAAATTGTATTAGGTAGAGTTTTGGTAGTACTTGAACACAGCAGTGAAATATCTAAAACCTTGAGCCCATATGTGAGAAGGGGCTGTCCAGTTCTTTGTGGGATGGAGTCTTAAGAGGTCTGATGCTTTCCCCTTTGCCACCCTCATTTAGGTTCCTCCAGTCTTTACCTGATTTAAACAAAAAAGAAACATCCCCATGGCTGGCTCAAGCTACAATAAAGGGGGTTGGCTGGGATAAACAGTAATGAGGCCACGAGCAGCATGTTTCTTGCTGAATGGGAGAAGACCTGATGGCCCCTTCGCTCAGGTACCACCGCAGACCCACTTGGCTGAGCAGAAGCCAGGCCATGGTGAAGTGTTTTCCAGAGACTGAACAAATACATACAGGGGCTCCAGGACGGATCAAGGGACAGAAAGCATTTTGGAGAGAAAGCTCAATTAAAATCTCTTGAAGAGGAGAGAAAGCAAATGGCTTGCTCTGAGAATGTGTCACGGGGGTGGCGGGAGAGGGAAGGAGCTTTTCTCTGTGAGCAAGGACCCAACTCAACATTTGGCTTCTAATGTGTTCAAATAATTTTTCAAAAGCCTGCAGTTTTGGCCAACTGCTCCAGGCAAAAGGGATAATAGTGTTTTAAATCGAAGACTAGTCTAAAGAGTGACACAAGGCTTGTTTTCAGACCTCGATACAATGCGCATCTGGCAACCGTGGAAAGCAGAAAGCTGGAGAAGTGGATTCAAGGAATAAGTTATACCGAGGGTCTAGCTCATCACTGCGTTTCTTTGCTTTTTATGGGAACAAAACTGAGAGATAATTTCATAATTTAGGGGATGCCGGAATACTAATGTCCATCTGCTGGCATATGGAGCTCATCTCGCTGCGCTCCTGCCTGGCGCGCGGGATTGCTCCAGGACAAAGCTGCCCTGATGCGATTCCTGTGCTTCGCTGGAGTTAACATAAATTTAAAACTTAAATGGCCCAAAGGCAGACTGAGCCTTAGCTACAGAACACATGTTCAAAACAATATGATTTGCTAAGACCAGCGCCTTTACACCACTCATCACAATGTTTCTCCTTTTGGGCTCTGATTAGGACATATCCCCGTCGGACGGATGAGAAATGCTCCATCAGTTCTTATCTCCTCTCTTTTACGGCTGGAAATGGGCCACCCCTTTCGGATGCTGCTGATGTTATTCTGCTCGCTTCCATTTATCAGTCACTGGCCCTGGCGCTTGCAGTTCAGATTTAATTTGCTGTTTTAAACTCCAGCTTCATTCAGCGGCAGTTCATATCACCGCCAGAAATAATCTGGTGCAGTCTGGTTCCGTTCAATTGTTACGCAGTCTGCGAGGAGACACTAGGAAGACAACCGAATTGCTTGCCAGGGTGGCCTTTTAAAGTCAAAATTTCAGAAACGGCAAACTCATTCTGATTATGGGAAGTTTCTGCCCAAAGCTTCATCTGAAGACAAACCATGTCACCCTAACAGTTTTTAAAAGTTGTCTTTAATTTTCTCCCAGGCTCAGACCAGGGTGTTGTCTGGGTCAGAAGCCAGGTGTGTGCCCTTGTTGGGTGCCCCCAAAACTGGACTGCCTGCAGTCGTGCCGTGCCGTGCAGGCAATGGCAGCGCGGCTCAGTCACGGTGTGACCGACATGCCAGCCACGGTCACCAAGTGACTTCACCTGGACGTGGACCAGGAATGAAGGAAAGCCACAGCCTGGCCACGGGGCTCTGTGAAGAGCCTCCGTCGTACGACTCAGCCTAAGACAAACCTCAGCTTGTCATCACTGCATGTCCCGGTAGGAAGTTTCGCTTGTGAGTGTGGCTTCTCCTTCCCAAGGAGAAAGTATCTGGTTAAGGCAGAAAACATAACTACTGAATCTTGAGAGGCAGAGATAATGTTTCCAATTCTCCACGGAAAATCTTAGGGCTCAGAAACCTAATTAATGATACCTACTGGGGACATGATTAATTACCAAATAAGAAAGTTTAAAGAAAGAAATTCAGATGAATATTTCATTTCTTGTTTAGCATTAAACTTAAAATAAGGACAACGAACATCTTATATTTTCTTTAACTTTCTTCTGATGGGAAACTCATTAAAGTAGAATAGGACCAACAGTTAGTTGGTGGTAGGTGGCAAGACCACCAGGAGGATACAGCGCAAATCCAGGCCCATGTAGCCTCTGGTACATGGCCCAGACAGGACAGAAATGCTTTGTGCAAGTGCCCAAACTCTCTTGGAGCAGATGCTCTGTTGCTCGTCCTTCGCCATCTCAGCCTGAAGCAATGTAAATGTTCCTGGGATTTTGCACGAGCCATCATTTCAAAGATCAGGTTCATGTAATAGAGACAGACACAGGAAAATTATATGTTTCCTGCAAGCCTTCAGTGCTTCCAGTGGCTCTGAACTCCCATGCTGCAGGGAAAAAGGGATTGTTACTATGTTGGTTTTTTTCTTAGGTTTCCACAAATTACTTCATACAGGGAGTGCTTCATTTTTAAGGACTTAAGCAAGAGGAAGAGTTGGAGATTTACAGTGTGGTTTCACAGTCTGGTGTTTACTCTGGTTTGGAGCATTTCCAACAACACAGACTGCTGACGAGGTTCATTCATTGCTGCCAGGTCCACTCAGCAGCCGTTTTCTGGCGTGGTGTGCTCTGCTCAGGGCTGCTCAAGCCTGTGTGGCGCAGCCGGTGCCACCTCCACCCACGACCAGAATTACCTGCTAAGGTAAAGCCTGGTAGGTGCTAATCCAGTGATAATCAAACTCTGGATTGATATTTAATGCTGCCTTTGTAGGGCAGTTTTACCAAAGCATCCCTGCTAACGTTCAATCCTCCTTGGAAAATGCTTGGCTTTCCATTATGAATGTTGTTCAAAACTTTGGAAGGAAACAAGCTGTAAGCTGTGGAGCACATAGCACAAATCTCTCCTATCCATTTTGCTCTTCTTTCCATGTTTTCTAATTCCAAGGTTGGTAACTAATTTAGTGCAACAATGTGAGGTTTAGCTATTTGTTGTTATTTTGAAATGATTTTTAAGATATGTGAAAATTACCAGGAGATGCTAAAATTTTAACTTTGATGTTGAGGAAGGATCCTGATTCAGTGCAAGTTGAAGAAGAAAAACTTTCTGAAATCTGGGGCTTTTACTCTACTCCTGTACAATCACCCATGAGTTCCCACTCTGCTTAGCTTTTAAAGTCTGTCTAGTCCAAGCGCTTGCCACACAGAGTACTTTGCAGTGTAAAAGACTAAGATTTTAAATGAGAGACTGAACATTGTTAAAAAGCAATAATAGCAAAAATGACATAAAATAGTGACTTTTTAACTTTTAAGAGCCAACTCTGTCAAGAAAGCATTTAAATGTGAGGTCATCCACTGTCCAACTCATTTTAATGCATTTAGCATACCTAATGAAAAATCAGTTTATTTAATGTAAGAATACCTTTGTACTTGAAGATTTGGTCAGGACTCGGCTCTATCACATCGTTGTTGATGGTGACCCCTGGATATCTGGCTTGTACTTTTGAGAGGATCAGGAGGTCAATCTCACCTAGGGAAGCAGGCAACGTGAAATACAAGATGAAAGCACAGCTTGGGCAAATGTTATCTCCAACATCATCACATCCCCAGTTTTGAAGACCGATGACTGCCACTGATGTACAGAACATGTACCACACCGATACATGTAGCTGCTTTGTGTTCTCAGCGGATTGCCACTGAGGGTTTAGCGCTAGGATTTGAGGAAAAAATTAAATGGCAGTCCCAACTATCTTCATTCCTCCTCTGTGACTACCACCATCAGAGCCAAGGGAAAACCGGACACAGCCATGCACGTGGCGTGATCTCATATTTTCTGGACATGGACTAACCTCCCAGAGAAGATCCTGAACAACTCTGATGGTACCAGTTCCGATGGTCCCATGTCACCAGCAAACCTGGCAGGATTTCTTAGGAGTCAGTAAGAGCGTTTTTAAGCCAAGCATCCCACTGGTTACCAGGTCATGTGGGTGAGGGAGAAGAGAATATTTGTTTAAACTGGAATCAGAAACAACGTTCATGTCTGTTTGTCTTTAGTGTCCTCTGACTTTTTCCATAAGTAGGATAAATAGTGCACATACCATTTATGTTTATCTAACCCCTGTTTACAGAATAACCCAGAGCTCCCTGCACGTTCTTTGTGAGGAATAGTTCTCTCTGGATACTGTTCAGGCTGGCTGCAATTATTTTGCTAGTGGAAGTACCAATAGATCCAACATTTCAAAATCTAAAAAGAGCTGCCTCACTCATGACCACCTTTCCCAACCCACAATATAGGTAGCTCAGGGAGATGATGCTCCTGACTGAGTCGTGGATCCTGGGACAGCATTACACTGCCTTGCTTAGGTTTCTTAGGGCTCACTTCTGCTTATTGGGCTTGAATAAATTTTAGGTGGAAAAAGCAATAGAAGAATAAAGGTAGAGAGAGTGAGGAAGAAGGTAACTGTGATCAATAATAGACCCAGAGGTCATGTTACAGACAAATACTCAGCTTCTTCCTGGAAGGTGGGCTTGTACTTGCACACAACCACGTTACAAAATTCCTTACAAATTAGCAAAATGAAACACTCAACAGAAGATCTTGCAGTGAACCCTGATGGGCAGACAGGCCCTTGCTGAAGGACTGTGGAGGGGTTGCTCTATTTGTACAACCTCTGCTCCCGAGTTCCCACCACTTCAGCGTTACATCCATTATACAGCAGATTCGAGGTAAGAAAGGAAAATATTGGGGGTTAAATAGCCGCAATGTGTACCCCAGAGCTCAACCCAGCACACCAGATCCTCACCCAGGAGGGTCCTTTTCACTGCAAAGAGCTCTCTGCCTGCTCCTGGCCCCACCACACACCACCACGGGTCAAAATCAGGCCCCCCCCAGCCCAGGTCTCACCTGCTCCTTAACACCCCAAGGATTTAACATAAAAAGTAAGGAAAAGTGTGATTATTTCAGACTTGTGTGTCTTTCTTAAAGCAACTAATAGCACCAAAATTTACATGGCAACTGAGCAAGCATGTTCTTTGAGGGAGAGAAATTGAATTTCTGAAGGAGCAGAAATAGCTGCAGCTTTGCTATCACTGCCAACCCTGTATTTTGTTGAAAAATCAGAGCAAAGTCAGTCATCTGCAGGATGCCGCGGTAAAATCTGGGAACACAGAATTTGAAATGAACCACTGCAGTATTTTTGATTATTTTGTTGCCTTACCAACTTTCTTTAAAATGGATTAGCCCTTTGAAAAGGCTATGCAGGTCCTGATAAAAAAAAAAAAAAAAACAACAAACATTTGAATTTCACGTTTCCATATGCGGATAGGTTAACATATTCCCTTCCACTCTTCTGTGGCCAAACCACCCTTGTACTGTTTTTAACCAAAAAACACAACCCTTTGATTCATAATTTAATCCACAGCCTTAATTGAGTTCAGTTAGCTCTTTTATATGCAAACAAGTGTCCTGAGGCATTTTACAGTCAAATCTGTGGCAGCTTGCGTTATCAACAATTTGGCAATTAGGCTATCCGAATTATTTAAACTCTCCAACACAATTACCTTTTAAAGGCTACCACTATGTTCACCATTAAGTTTCTAATTAAACATTTTACGTAACGGGATAGTTTATCGCACAGTTGTGACTTTATAGCGGCGTTGATGACTTTTATGGTTTTTAAAGGTACAGAGAGCAGCGCGCTGGAGTGTGAACTTAATAAGGCAGAGGCTGTGGGCGAAGGCGGGCGCTGTAGATGGGCGGGTGTAATGGGATATGATGCTACATTAAATGGTTTGCTTGTCTCTCGAGGTGGAAAAGTGGAAAAGAAACACTATTCTTCCATGCTTTTGCCTGGCAAAGCACAGGGGCAGATGGGGCCAGGGCAGCAGCTCCATGATTCCCTCTGACATCAGCCAGGGCTAGATGGGAGAATGTGGGAATTTGCTGCCTCCTCACCACCCGAGGACCCTCAGGGGGAACCAGCCAGCAAGGAGTGGGGTTTTGGTGGTGTTTGGTTGTTTTTACATGACAAAGTGAGTCTTGTCTGCACATTAATGATCATGCTAAGCTGGAGTGTCCCTGGTTAGGTACCTCACTAAGTAAAGTGTCCCTGTTAAAAACAACAATTTTTTTTGGCAGAAAAATGAATTCCCTTGTTTGGAAAGCAGTGTTCCTGCTCTGTCACACTGTCTGTTTTAAAACTAACACCCACCATTTACATATAATTACTTACTAGGAGAGACTAACAAAGCTGAGATTAGTCTTTGGAGATGGTATGGCTAAATCATTTAAACTGAATTAACTGTTCTTACAAAATTTAATTTTGATCAGCTAATGAGCAAGGCAGAATTAGAAAGCATAGGCTTTAATTATGAGGGAACTTAAGCAAGAATTTAATGGGAAGAAGCCACTTGATGTTCTTGGTTTGTTTTTCCACCCAGTGAACTTCGGATAAGATATTTGTTTATTCTCATTTCTTCTGGATCCCTTTTGGAGCTTATGATTAGCTCCAATGTTTTGGGTGACAGGAGCTCCAGGAGGGGCTTGTGCATTGATCATGGTCAGCAACAGCGTGCAGGCAAAACAGAGGTCAGCTAAGGCTGTCATGTAGCAGGACAGGAGGCAACAATGATGGGTGTTACCACATCAGTAAATAGTTACAGGGGAGAGTAATCCTAATGCAAGTGAAAATTTAACATTCCGAGGAATCTAAGACATTATGACACCTTTTTCCCCCATAAAATCACTATGGGGCAGTTCAAGCCTCTCTCTCCTTGAGGAATGATGTCACAGGAGGAGGTTTCTCATGGAGGACATACAAAAATCAGGGTGGGGAGGCGCACGCTATTTTCGGACAATGTGATCATAGAATCATAGAATCATAGAATCATAGAATGGTTAGGGTTGGAAGGGACCTTACAGAACATCTAGATCC